CTCACTTTGCATTTTGTAAATTGATAAACAATTACAATATATATTTTTGAAAGCATTCTTAGTTTATAGCATTTTTTCACACCTGCCTAAAACTTTTGCACAGTACTGTACATTTTCAAATAATTGGTAGAGGGATAAAAGAACTGTAATGTCTACATACTAGCCTTCCCTAACCTTCTGTCGTCCAGATATGTTGTCCAATCCCAGCGTAGCCATGATGCTCTGGGTATTATTGGAACTGAATTCCAATACATACAGAAGGCAGCTCCAGTGTGTATCTTGAGAAATGAGGTCACTTAAAAGACTTTTAGATCCTTAAAAATGATTTTATCTTCAATCTCACAGCAGCTTGAAGACAGTACACTTCCAAACATATTTGATTTACAGCTATGGGGTTACTTTCAGATTTTGCTGTGTTCTCCATCCGGAAAAGATCATGTTTTCCTGGATATGACGACTGGAAAGCTAGGCTTACAAACATAAAAATTGCAATGTCCCAGGTGGCTTGTTTGTCACAAGTCAGAGGTTAACTGTCTTTTGTACATGAAGGTTGTGTTTTTTGTTTGTTTATGGCTAGTAGTCTCCATGAATTGATCTAATGAATTTTTAAACTGCTAGTAGCTTTCACCACATCCAGTAACAGTTAAAGTTCATAGGTTAATTGTGTTGTGTGAATTTTTGCTTTCTTTGAAATCTTGTTCAGTTTTTAACTGATTCATTGGATGATCTTGAAAGTATTGTATTTTGAGAGAAATGAAGTATGTGCTTTTATCAGCTTCAGATTTTATATATTTTTCTCTGTGATTTTTTAAAATAAAAACTAAGATGAAAAACCTCATAAAGTTTTTCTTTATAACATATTTCATTCTTGCTATGCTTAATCACAGGTCTCATTACTCTTACTAGTTTTATTTAATTATTTTAAGCTAGGACATCTAAAATTGAGATTCATTATGATGCACTGGTAATCTTAGCTTTAGAAGTACATGTTCCAAAGACTGGGAGCAGGGACTTTCTCTCTCTCTCTTTTATTAATAATTAGTAAGGTAAAATACATGGTTATGGCAGTGTGCTGTCTATGCCATAGTGCTACTTCATTGGGGAAATGCTGAAAAAAAAAGTAGGAATTTATTCTTAAATGTAGGACTGTAAACAGTGGGATTCCCCAAGAATCTGTTCTGGGGCCACTATTTTTAACATATTGAAGAATAATCTAGAATTAGGAATGAACAGTGAGGCTGTACAGATAATGGATAACATCAGATTATTTTGAGTAGTTAACAAAAAGGGGATACAGAAAAGTTCTCAAAGGATCTCTGCAAACTGGGCTTTAAAATGTCAAATGTCAGTGTGAGCAAATGATACATATTAAGACAAAAAAATCTTAATTTCATGTATATGCTACTAGAGTCTGAACTGGAATTGATTGAACATGGAAGAGTTATGGTAGAGAGGTTCCAACAGAAGAGAATATATGTAGCTCAGGGTTGAACTGTGGAGTCACTGGTGCTCTCTGAGCTAGGTTGTTTGCTTGCAGATGTTTCATTACCCAACTAGGTAACATTGCACTGATGATGTTACCTAGTTGGGTAATGAAACA